TGTTCAGTGCCTCTGTGTCCTTATTTATTTTCTGTCTGGTGGATCTGTCCTTTGGAGTGAGTGGTGTGTTGAAGTCTCCTAAAATGAATGCATTGCATTCTATTTCTTCCTTTAATTCTGTTAGCATTTGTTTCACCTATGTCGGTGCTCCTGTGTTGGGTGCATAGATATTTTAAAGGGTTATATCCTCTTGTTGGACTGGCCCTTTATCATTAGTAATGTCCTTCTTTGTCCCTTGTTACTTTCTTTTGTTTTGAAGCCTATTTTGTCTGATACTAGTACTGCAACACCTGCTTTTTCTCCCTATTGTTTGCATGAAATATCTTTTTCCATCCCTTCACTTTTAGTCTGTATATGCCTTTCGGTTTGAAGTGAGTCTCTTGCAGGCAGCATATAGATGGGTCTTCCTTTTTTATCCATTCTATTATTCTGTGTCTTTTGATTGGTGCATTCAGTCCATTTACATTTAGGATGATTATTGATAGATATGTACGTATTGCCATTGCAGGCTTTGGTTTCTTGGTTACCAAAGGTTCAAGGTTAGCTTGTTTACTATCTAAACATCTAACTTAACTCACTTTTTATACTATTATAAACACAGTCTGATGATTCTTTATTTCTCTTCCTTCTTTTTCTTCCTCCTCCACTCTTTATATGCTAGGTGTTTTATTCTATACTCTTTTGTGTTTCCTTTGACTGATTTTGTGGATAGCTTATGTTATTTTGCATTTAGTTAGTATTAGGTTGGTCTATTTTCTTTGTTGTGATTTAATTTTCTCTAGTGACATCTATTTAGCCTTAGGAGCACTTCCATCTAGAGCAGTCCCTCCAAAATAAACTGTAGAGATGATTTGTGGGGGGTAAATTCCCTCAACTTTTGCTTACCTGGTTCCTTCAAATTTAAATGATGATCTTGCTGGATACAGTATTCTTGGTTCAAGGCCCTTCTGTTTTATTGCGTTGAATATATCATGCCATTCTCTTCTGGCCTGTAAATTTATACTGAGAAGTCTGATGATAGCCTGATGGGTTTTCCTTTGTAGGTGATCGTTTTTCTCTCTGACTGCTCTTAATACTCTGTCCTTGTCTTTAATCTTTGCCTTTTTAATTATTATATGTCTTGGTGTTGTCCTCCTTGGATCCCTTGTGTTCGGATATATGTGGGCCTCCATGGTCTGAGAGACTATTTCCTTCCCCAGACTGGGAAAGTCTTCAGCAATTATTTCTTCAAAGACACTTTCTATCCCTTTTCCTCTCTCTTCATCTTCTGGTAACCTATAATGTGAATATTGTTCCGTTTGGATTGGTCACATAGTTCTTTTAATATTCTTTCATTCCTAAAGATCCTTTTATCTCTCTCTGCCTCTGCTTGTCTGTATTCCTGTTCTCTGATTTCTATTCCATTAACAGTCTCTTGCACCTCATCCAGTCTGCTCTTAAATCCTTCCATTGTTTGTTTCATTTCTGTTATCTCCCTCTGGAATTCATCCCTTAGCTCTTGCATATTTCTCTGTAGCTCTGTCAGCATGCTTATGATTTTTATTTTGAATTCTTTTTCAGGAAGATTGATTTTGGTCTCACCAGGTCCTCTCTCTGCCGTTCGAGGGATTTTGGACTGAACAAGGTTCTTCTTCCTTTTCATGGCAATGGAAGTGATCACTGGAGAGTCACACATGTGTCAGCTGGGAGAACAAAGTCCCTTCCTGCTTACTGGTCGCCTTGCCCATCTCTGCTGCCTGTATCCATCAACCGCACACAGGGAGCAGCCTCTAGGTTGATTCCCTGAGCTGCTGTGGGCAGGGCGGCCCTCAGGATAGCCTAGGGCACTGGCAGGGTCGCAGCAAGTGGCGTGTGTTCTCCTGTGAGAACAGCGCCCCTTTGTGCTTCCCAAACTCTGTGCCAGTCTCCGCTGTCTGTGCCAGTCAACTGCACGCACAGGGCAGCCTCTGTGTCTGGGCCGGTTAGCTGTGCATTGGGAGAAGCCTCTGTGTGGTTGCTGTGGGAGGAGCTACTCCCCAGCTGTTCAGCAGCAATGGCGAGTCAGCCAGTCTGCTTGCAGTGTCAGTGGTGGGGAATGAACAGCAGGTTGCTTATCACCATGAGGGGCTTCGGAGCTGTGTTGTCACCCAGGGGGTTAGGGCACCTGAGGTTTCTTAAAGTTCCCAGCCTGCTGGGCTGAGTGTGCCAGGACAATTTTGTCCACCTGTTAAACCCTTGTCCCTTTAAGACTTTTAAAGCGCCCACTTTTCTTCTGTCCCAGGGCAGCCAGCTGTGGGAACCTGTTTACAGTCTTAGTCTCGGATTTTGCTTTTCCATTCCTCTAATATCCAGTATACCATGCAATGTGTGTCTGTGCTCCCAGTGCAGATTACTAGGGCTGGTTATTTAGCAGTCCTGTGCTTCCACTCCTTCCCCACTCTGATTCTTTTCCTCCCGCTGGTGAGCTGGGGTGGGGGCAGTGCTCAGGTCCCACCGGGTCATGGCTTCGAATCTCACTGTTTTCTATGAGATGTTGAGTTCTCAAAGATGTAGATGTAGCCTGGCTGGTGTACTGTAACTTCTGGTCACTCTTTTAGGAATAGTTGTATTTGCTATATTTTCAAAATATATATGGTTTTGGGAGAAGTTTTCCACCACCCTACTCAAGACACTATCTTGAGAATCTCTTGTCCAAGAAAAGGTATATATTTTTTAATTGTTCCAACCAGGAACAATGTTGCCTTAGTTAAAGGTAGTTAACTATGAACAAAATTGACTGGCACAAAATGAAGTTTCCCAAGAAGCCCTTAACATATATCATAGAAAAAACTGTGGGAAAAGAAGGGCTTTTGATTGAGTTAATAGATGATAGTTATTCTTTACTAATGTCTGAGAGAATTATCAGAGAAAATTCCAATTTACTTATTAATTTTGACAACTATAATTTAAAATTTCTAGTTCCAGAGTAACTCTCCAGGTTCAGGTAATTTGGTTGATGAGTAGACACTTGATCTGGTTCAGTAAAAGTAGATCTGTGTTACCAGCTATAAACGATTTTACACAATGGTGATGAGAAGGCAACTATTAATATGGCAATTTAAATTATTGACACACCTATGGAATACAGAAGGCACCCGAGAAATGAAACCCCCACAAACTTATTGCAAGATGAATGTTAAATAACTGAGCAACTACCAAATTAACCTGATGATTTTGTGTTTATGGAGGGTTCTATGATTTTTCAGAAAATTTTCTCCATTATGCTGTATGCACCTTATAATCACCAATATGGAAGGTAAGTGAGACTAAGGACAGGATCTACAAAATTTGCTTGTCAGAAACCTTCATTCGAACCTCCGGTCTGGTGGTTACGTGCTGTGTGCAGATAAATACATCATTTAACGCCTCTTGGCCTCAGCTTCTACACTGAAGACACAGGCTGATAACTGATTACTGAACAAAGAATGCTTCTAAAAGAATAAGAAAATAGATGTGAAAATGCTTATAAATAATACAAACTTGTAATATCATTGCTTCTACATTTTGGAAGAATCAGAGAAGTTAAATGAAGGAAGATAAATCAGGGATAATTAAAGTCAGGGTCAGGTTAATCAAAGTTTTCTCTGTTATATCATGTTGCTTCCCAAAATTCTATACTCTCTTCAGTTCCTATTCTTCTGTATCATTACAGACCTTTTAGTTCCATTTCAATCTCTATTTTCTTAAGCTTCTGTGATGCTACTGTTCCAAAATCCTCCTCTTCTCATAGACTTTGTATTCCTTTTTAATTCCACTGATTTCTCTAATAGGGTCACACAAATATTCTTTAAAATAATAGAATCTATACCCTTATTTTATCAAAAAAAAAAAAAAACAGGACACAAAATTTCAAACTATTTCTGCATATTTCTCTTTTCAATACTTAAAACTCAATGTAGTCCCAAAATGAATAGGCTCCAAAATATGAGTTATATATTTTGACATCTCCTGCTTTCTATCTCCATGATTCGATTATTAAACCCTGTCCATTCTGCTCCATTTCCTAAGAAGTCAACATGAAAGCACCTCTCAGATAAGAATCAAAAGTCATCAAATGTGTGTGGTTACTTTAGGTGAAATCATTGTCTAATAAAAGCAATTTACACAGTCCATATGACCAAACTATCATCATGTACAGTAAGGTTCAAGATTTGCAAAGGAATGGGCCATTTCATAATGTTTATAAATAATCACCCAATTGGACAAGAATCCAATCATTCTTCTGGACTCTTCCTCTAGTAGATATAAAGAGGATGTCTAAAGGTCTGAAAGTTATGATGTGCTATGTAAACATTAGAAAAATACTTCCAAAATTAAATTTCAATGAACTACCTGAATGAGTAGAGTGAACACAGGCTAAGTGTCACTGTTACCTTTATTTTGAATTGCATTTATTTTGGTACCCTGCCTCCTGGGAAAATATCCTGGATGATTCTACCACATTGAAAATTAATACCAAATTTCAAAATCTTTCAAAATTAAGCCCAGACATTATAAAAATACAGAGCTAAGGTAGTTAATCCTCTAAGCATGAAATTCATACAAAGCTCCTTTGCCTTGCCAAACATGATTCTTTTAAGATGAACAGCAGGTCAAAATTCTAAGCCATATCTGAGGCAATTGGAGAGCTTTTCTAGTAATGATGCAGTTGTTAAGATTTTGAAAAGTCTAGATTTTGTACCTCTGGTTTGCTGCTCTTCATAGTACAGAGTAATGGAAATATCTCATGTCCCTGTTTTAAGATCACTGGCTTCCAGTCATTCTCTCCCACTGCCCAGAGAAAGGAAATGGCTTTCTAAAGGCTTTATGAAAGAGATAAACTTAAATCACTGTAGCTGCAAAATTTATGAAGCTCTCACAAAAAAATGCTAAGCCTGAATAACAGCTTCTACAGCTCCAATATATTTCTTCACACTGAAATGTCACAAACTCAAAATAAGGACGATTCTTTAGAAAATGCAGGACTCTAAGAAACTTCTTACCTTAGCAAAGAGAAGACATCATAAGAATTACGAACACAGTTCTGATCTACCTGAAGGAGAATATTCTTCTGAGCATTTGAATAACCCTGAAAGACATTAATCAACTTATTCATCAAAGTGAAACAAAACAAATATGTGCACAAATTAATCATGTTTGTCTTCTTAAAATTATGGTTTATAAATACCTCAGTAAATTCAGATCACTAAGAGATTCCAAAAAGTACAACTTCCATTTAACTGAAGTTTAACCTTTTAGGCAAGTGAATTTAAATTTCTTCTAATATTTTTCCACAAAAATAATGTTTCACATTATAAATTGCAGTGAACTTCTCAGGGAAGCCACACAAGTCTTTTTAACTTGTTATGAATATTAACAATAATACTTAAAGTGTGCCATATGTAATGTTTTATGGAAGGAAAAGGCATTCCAATTTCTAATTAGGAATACCAGAAACAAATTATTTCTACTCACTAGTATAAAGGTGATGGGAGCAAGTATGGTTTCTAGAGAAAACATGGCACAATTCTGTAAGAAAAACAAAACAGGTATCTATCACTTAAGAAAGGCAAAGTAAATTAGTGGTTAGGAAAAAGGACTCTGAATCCAGACCACCTGGAATACAATTTAAGCCTTCAATACCAGCTCTATAATCTTGAGCAAGGCACCTAACCTCTCAGTTTACCTATGGTTTCTTCATCTATAATCTGGAGATGACAGTATTATCTACCATGCAAATTGTTGTGGGAATTAAAAGAATTAATATGTATAAAGTGGAAGGTATTAATATGCACTACATAGATGTTTGCTATAATGCTAGTCTAAGCATTTTTAAGTTACATTGCTACAGACATTAAAGGTTATTAAGGGAATACCGTGAACAACTTTATGTAACAAATTTGACAAGATGAATAAGACAAACTCCTTGAAAAAATACAACATACCAAAATTGTCAAACAATGAAACAGTATCTGAGTAACCCTATATCTATTTTTTAAGTGAATAAGTAATTAAAAATCTCCCCAGAAAAAAAGTATAGGTCAAGATGGTTTCATTGATGAATTCTTCCAAACAATTAAGAAATAACATGAATTTAACACAAAAAATAAAATAGAGGAGAAGGTAACAACTTCCAACTCATACAGCCATCATTACTGACACTAAAATTTGATAAAGATATCACACAAACACACACACACAATTATAGACCAATATTATTCATGGACACAGACACAAAAGTCCTTATTAGCAAACTGAACCAGCAATACATTAAAAGGATAAAACAATAAAACATCATTATTGATTGAATTTATTATAATAAGGTAAGGCTGGTTTAGCATTTAAAAATAAATCAAATACATGAAATAATCAATAGAAATCTATATTGCTGGGCACACAATTATAAAGATGTAACCTGTGACAATAACACAAAGGTGAGGGAATGGATCTATACAGAAGAAAAGTTTTTGTATAACTGTAAACGTAGGCTGGTATTCATTTAAAATAGACTGTTACAAATTAAGATGCTAATTTTCGTCCCCAGGGCAATCACTTAATAAGTCAAAGATACATAGCAAAAGAAATGAGAAAGGAATCAAAATGCTAGAAAATATCTAACACAAAAGAAGGTAGTAATAGACAAAATGAGAAACAAACAAGATAAAAGAAAACAAATAGAAAAATGGAAGCAATCCCTCCATCTAAAGTTACATTAAATGTAAATGGATTAAGCACTCCAATTAGAAGACAAAGACTGGCAGAATGGATTTTCTTTTTAATGATCCACTATATGCTGTCCGCAACAGATGCACTTTAGAACCAAAAATACAAATAGATTGGAAATGAAAGGAAGGAAAGCAGTCACCAAAAGAGAGCTAGAATGGTATACCAATATGAGACAAACTTTAACACAAAAAAAAGTTTCAGGAGACAAAGGACATTATATAATTTTAAAAGGGTCAAGGAGAAATAAGTGATTATTATAAACATACATGAACCCAACAACATACAACAAAATATATGAAGCAAAAACTGAAAAACCTAAAATCGGAAAGAGCAGGAGACATCAACATCCCACTTTCAACAGTGTATATATAGCACAACCATATAAAAGATAAACAGGGAAATAGAAGACAATACTATAAATCACTAGATCTAACAGATGCATGTAGAATGCTCCATCCAACAATATCCATACACACATTCTTCACAAGTGAACATGGAACATTCTCCAGGATAGACCATATGTTAAGCTACAAAACAAGTCTCAATAAATTTTTAAAACTTTAAATCATACGAAGTATCTTCTCTGACCACAAAGGAATGAAACAAGAAATCAATAACAGAAGGAAATTTGGAAATTCACAAACTGCAAATTAAACAACACACTCTCAAACAACCAGTGGGCCAAAGAACAAATCACAAGATAAATTATTAAATACTTCGAGACGAATAAAAATTAAAACACAACATATCAAAATATATGGGATGCAGCACAAAAGTGCTCAGAGGGAAATTTATAGCTGTAAACTCTACATGAGAGAAAGAAAGAGGGAAGAAGAAAAGGAGGGAGGAAGGAAGGAAGGGCAAGCTTCAATAAATAACCAGAACTTCCACCTTAGGGAACTAGTGAAAGAACAATGAACGAAACCCAAAACAAGAAGGAAGGAAATAATAAAAGATTAGAGCAGACATCCTTGAAAAAGAGAATTAGTTATTTGAAAACACAAACAAACATATGCTACAGACTGACCAAGAAAAAGAGAAGACTCAAATGACCAAAATCAGAATGAAAGTGGGAACACTATCACCAACCTTTTAGAAATAAAAATTATAGAAGACTACTATGAACAATTGTATGCCAGTATATCAGATAATCTAGATGAAAGAGCAATTCCTTGAAACACGTAAACTCCCAAACATGACTCAAGAAGAAGAAAACCTGAGCAGACCTACAAGTTGTTGAGAGGTTAGCTAAGGTTCTCCATGGTATTGCTATCTCAGCATCCATTTTGTCTGGCCAAGTGGCCAGCAGGGACCTTAAACTGACACGAGACTCCTCAGGGAAGCACATGCCCTAGAGAGCAGGCCTCAGAGTCACAAGCAAATTTAAGTTCCTGATATGACTTATGATCAACAGTTTCCCCTGCTTCCCAGTACCTGTATGCCTCTTAGCTAAAAAATCCTCATGTAGGTTACCAAAACTCTTGCTCTTTTGGTTTGAATTGACCAACCCAGCCTTAGCCCAGGAACCTCAAAGCACTCCACCCAAAGACCCTAATAAAGGCATGTGCCCCAGATCCTGTCTCTCTTTAACTATACTTTGCCTTGATTTCCCTATATGTCCCCTCAAGGCAGACACCCTGTAAATCCTCTAGGACTTTTGAGTAATCAACTTTTCTATTTCAATTTCTCTTGCAGTCTTTTGTTGAACCATGTCTCACCAACCAGAACCCTGTGTTCCACTTAACAAATGTTAATTTAATAAAGTCATAACACAAGACTATGTATGAATAATCGTAAAACTCCCAGCAAAGAAATGCACAGAAACACATGATTTGACTGATGAATCCTACCAATCATGAAAAAAAAATAACTAACACAGAAAAAATGAAAGAGGAAATAACTTCTTAACTCATTCTATGAGGCCAGTATTATCCTGATACCAAAGCCAGACACCACAAGATAATTAGAGACCAATATCCCTTATAAATATAAATGCAAAAATCTTCAACAAAAATACTAGTTAATCCAGTAGCATAGTAAGTGGCTTATACCATTTGGTCCAGCAATTCCCCTTCTGGAAATATACCCAAAAGAATGGGAAGTGAAGACTCAAACTGGTATTTGTTCACCCATGTTCACAGCTGCATTATTCACAATAGTTAAGGGGTGGAAGCAACCCAAGTGTCCATCAACAGAGGAACAGATAAACAAAATATGATACAGGCATATAATGGAATATTACTGAGCCTTAAAAAGGGAGGAAATCCTGACACATACTATAATATGATGACCCTGAGAACATTATGTTAAGTAAAATAAGCCAGTAACAAGAGGACAAATACTGTATGAGTCTACTTATATAAAGTACCTATAGTAGTCAGATTCATAGAAGCTAAAAGTAGAAGGGTTAAGTGCCAGGAGACTGGGAGGAAGAAATGGGGAGTTACTGCTTAATGTATAGAATTTTAGTTTTATAAGATGAAAAGAGTTCTGGAGATGGATGATGGTAATGGTTGCACAATAATGTGAATGTACTTATGCCACTAAACTTTACACTTATAAAGGTTAAAATGGTAATTTTTTATTATGTATATTTTACCACAATTAAGAATTTTTTTAAAAGTATTATACACTAGGAACAAGTGGGATTTATCCAAGGTATGTAAGTTAAGTGTGGTTCCATAAATGAAAGTCAATCAATGTAATACCTCACGTTGCAAGACTCACACTTCATAATTTCAAAACTTATTACAAAACAACAGCAATCAAAACAGTGTGATAGTGGCATAACAGTAAACATACAGTTCAGTGGGATAGAATTGAGAACCCATTAATAAATTCATACATCTATGGTCAATTGTTTTTAGACAAAAGTGACAAGACTATTCAATAGGAAAATACTAGCCTTTTCAACAAATGATGCTGAAACAACTGCATAGCCACATGCAAAATAATGAAATTAGACCCATCCCTAAGGCCATATACAAAAATTACCTCAAAATGGATCAAAGACCTAATTTTAAAGCTAAAACCATAAAACCATTAGAAAAAAACACATGGGGCACATCTACATAACACTGTACTTGCCAACAGATTCTTAAGTATGACACCAAAAACATGAGAAACAAATAAAATAATAGATAAATTGCACTTCATCAAAATTAAAAACTTTTTTTCATCAAATGACAATATAAAGAAAGTGAAAAAAGTAGGAGAAAATAATTGCAAATCACATCTGATAAAGGTCTAATATCCAGAATACATAAAGAATTCTGACCACTCAACAATAAAAAGAAAACCCAATTTAAAAAATGGGCAAAGGACTTAAGGACGCATTTCTCCAAAAAAAAAAAAAAAGATCTG